CTCTTTGATGAGCCAGATGTCATAACGTTCATTAAAACACAGCGACTTAGTTGGGCTGGACACATAATACGAATGCCAGAAAATACGATTGCTAAAAAGCCGTAAAAAAGGAACACCTGTAGGAAAAAGAAGCAAAGGCCGACCGCGAATTAGGTGGTTAGACGGAGTTGAAACCGACTTACGAATATTGAAAATCAGAAGATGGCAACATGTTGCCAAAAACCGAACAGAATGGCGACGAATCTTAGAGCAGGCCAAGATCCACAGAGGATTGTCGAGCCAAAGATGATGATGAAAAGTATTTGTAAACAACTTATAATAAGCTGCCGACGAAAATTGGTTAATAGCTAAATTCCTAAAGAAAGGAGGCGAAAAGTTAAAGTTAAATGTAACGAAGTTAGTAAAATAAATTGATAAAAATAAATTTGTGTTTCGTTAAGTGAAATTTTGAACGACCATCACAGATTCTGTAAATTGTTGAACTTTAAAAAAAATACAATTTAAAATGGCTGACTAGATCAACTCTCATATATTTATTCGAATATAAATGTAAGGTTACATTGTAAAATTATCTGTAACACGTCTTAAGTCTGTTCATAATTTACATTTCCGTCAGCTGACTAATTGTTCGTGCATGAAAACAACAACCTACAGATCGCTATATTATATGTATTTAACACCCTTATATGGATATATCTCATGTAAGTTATGACGGTCAACTGAGTGCACATAAAGTAAAAATGAAAGTAGGGTATACGTACAAAAGTCTTGATAGTTTATTGGAAATAAGTTGTTGTCTGAACACCAATAAAAATTCAAAAAAATGACAATAGATGGCAAACGTGGTAAAAAAAAGAGTGAGGGACTAAAACCAAATAAAAATAGAAGAAAGTGGAATTTTGTAAAATTATATCATCATATTTTTAAGGTAAATAAGAGATATTAGATATATGAGAAATAAAAATGGAAATAATGACACTAAATCATACAAACCGCTACTTTAAACACACGCAATTGTGTATCGGCGATGTTATTAGGCATATCTTCACTAACAAATTAATACCAGTATTGCCGTAATAAATGTTGAAAAAAACTATTATTTATGCCGTGGAACATACCAAAATAAAAAAGAATAAATGACTGCAAACGCCAGATTTTACAAACATTTTTAATAAAAAATCCTTTACGGTTTTTCTTAACCGTATTCAAAAAAAAACGGTATATAAAAGGTGTATTTACTTAAAAGAACAATTTCGGATTAAATCACAGAACGTTTTTAAATTGAATTTTCCATATTTAGTGCTTCTACTAGTTATACATGTTACTAAGTCACTAAGTATATGTGTGAAAATCCTTTAAATGTCATTTAATTGCTATTATATTACATGTCCGCTAATCATTTTAGCTTCTACCGAGGGTTGCTGGTCCGGAAAATAGTTTCTGAACAGTCCTTAGGTAGCAACTGATTGGTGCTCTGATCTCTGGTCTCTGATTTGCATCATCTTGGCGTGCTGTTCTCGATCAAACGCTTTCTCGTAATCAAGCAGATAAGCGTATATGTGGCAATTGACGTATCTGAATCTCTGGAAGAAGACTTGCATTGAAAACAAAGCTGCTCTCGTACCAACAGCCTTTATAAAGCCAAAATGGTTGGACAAAATTTTTCTTTCACAAATTATATAAATTCTCCTGGATTATCTTTAGGATTATATTTAGATGACTCATGAGGCTTATCATACTTTTAGCATTTTTTGGCTTCTGGTTGTTTTGGAAATTCGTTAAACTCATACTTCAGCGATTCAGTATTTCTCCAGACTTGTTGAGTATGTTTGTCATTATTGCGATTGTTTCGTTGTTTATTATTTTGATTATTTCTGCTTATAAATTATAGAGACCTGCTGCTTTGCCCTACATTAGCAGTGTTATTGCAGAATAAGCTTCATTTTGTAATATTCTTGGTCCATCATATACCTCTTCTTCTAGCTTCTTATCTCTTTGACCCTCAAAACAGTTTCTTCGATATTCTTTTCGCGTTCTTATTTTGTTCTGATTTTCCAAGATGATGTTTCCGTCAGAGTAAGTTAGATTTCCTTTTTGTCTCCGTCTTAAACTACCTGTAATTTATTTAAATTTCGTCAAATATTTTCATTAATTCTTTTTCTTTCGCTTTAATGATTATTGTTATATTTATCGTTTTACGTCATTCTGAGTCATTTTTGGCTTTTCTTCTTTCGTCCAATAGTTTTTGGATCTCATTTGTTATTTAGGATTTTTTCTATATAATTTATCTGACTTTAAGTTTCTATCCTTTATATATTGAACTATTTCTGTAACATCTTTAATCGTTTGGAGTTTGAAGGTTAGCTTGGACCATTATTTTGTTATTAAGATCTTTTAGAATTCACAGATTGTAATTACCTTTTATGCACTCTTTTCTTGACAGATGTAAGGCTGTTTCGAAATCTTTTATAAAATTTAATCTATTTCATTTCTAATAATTATCGATCCTTTATTTCTGATTAGAAAGATAGATCATTAAATTTAGTTTGTACAATTTTTCAAAATAGTTATTCAAGAACGTATTTAAGAATGTGCGTAATACCTAAGAAAATAAGACAAAGAACGAGAGAAAATTTAAAGAAAAATTCTATATATAAAACAACAATTGAACTTCCAAATTTTCATCCCAAGACAAGATCATCCTTGCCAAATGGAAATTAACCTAAATACAAATGTTTGAACGCGATCTAAAGACTACACATTTTCTTAACCTAAATAATATATGTTATAATTGATTTCTTTTTACTATGATTTGATTTTATAAAAATATGCACATACCTTTTGTGGTCAACATTTTATTCTTTCTTCAACAATATTCCTAAATTTGGTCTTGCTTTTAGTATGTCGAATCTTGTCCTTCAGAAGATATGGTATAAGAATGTGCGGAATGTGATATTCGTAATTCCAAAGTTTACCATTTTATTATTTAAAAACAGTTAATTCTATTACAATTAAATAATAAAATAAACTGACTTAAAAATTAAGCAGTGTTGTTTTGAAATCATGTTGTTGTAACATCTTAGTTTTATATTAACTATATGATTGAGGATACATGGCACAAATAAGAAAGGATTAAATAATGATTGCCAAAGAATCTGGGCTTAACGCGATTGGTTACACAAGAAAAGCTGGGAGGAAAAAGAAGACCGGGAAGACGACGCACGTCCTCGTTGAAAAAGTTAAAGCAGTGGAGTGGAAAAACAGTAGAACTCTTCGGAACTACTACAGTAAGAGTAAAATAAAGAAGACGAAGAATTGACGAAGTATCACAAACTATATTGATCTAACTTTTAACTGAGAAAACCAACATTGGCAGAAATATATAGACAAGCAATTAAGGTAGCTCTAATACCTGTATGCTTGAAACATTGCACTATTAGCGACAAAAATGTTATGAGAACAACATAAAGAAAGACGCTAAAAGCTACTTAGTTATAAAAAAAAAAATATGAGTTTAGAATGTAAAAAAAGAAGAACGACATAACATGTAGTCGTATCTAAAACAACCAGCAAAAAGACCTTCCAAGAGATCCTATGACAGCTGAACATCACTACAGTAAGTTCTTGGATAACATAACAGTGAGGCTTCTCATCCTTTTGCGGAAAGTATTCACTGCAAGACAATATCACACATATGTAGATTTAATGTTGAAACTAAATACCATTTTCATATTTTTTTAGCTAGTACATTGTTTACTTTTCACAACATGTCATGTGACTTTGCAAACAAAAATGTGTTTTGTAAAAACATTTATTAGTGTATAATCTAAACTCATTCTTATTTTGTTTGCTGAATACTTTTTATCTATCTACCGTAAGTACTGGTCTTATTTATATTTATACATATATTTCTTATATTCACATATACACTTACATCTAATAATATCTTTACAATAAAAATAGATGAGGGACTTAAAACAAATAAGAGTTTTCCAGGAAAAGGAGTTGGAGACGTTGATTATTCTCAAAGAGAACGGAGAAGGAACTGTACTCCATGATAAGCAAACTACATAAAGTCTCAAGGCAGATAGAACTGCAAATTAAAAAAGAATGTGAAAGAAAACCAAAGGTCTGAAGTTTCTCAGATGGTTTAGGTAATATGACCTGCCGTTGGTAAACTGAACTTCACACTAAAAATGGAAAATTCTTATTATTCTCAAAAGAAGAGTCTATTATGGCTGCATATTATCAGAAGCCAGATGTAAACTTTAAAATAAAATTCTAGCAGAGAGACTGAGAGTAACGTAAAGATAAATGAAACGAGCAATATTAGGAAAATCTTAGAAGGTTTGTAAAATCACGAATAGAGCAATGGGTAAAATAAGGACCTCAAATAAAAGAAATAGAGCTAAGGGCACTAATTTAATGAAATAAACTGATAGACTTACGTGAAATTAAGTTGCACACTCACGATAAAATAATAATTACATGGAAAAAAAAAAGTATCGAAATTCACCCTGAAGATGGGGGATATTATTCGAATAAACAAGAATTAGATATAAGATATAAAATCTTTTTAAAATTATTTTATTTCTTGCTACTCTCTCATTCTTTTGATGTGACACCGGATTAATTCCAAATTCTTCATCAGACCTCTCTTTGACTTGATAGTACTCAAAAATCAACTTGTTATATGAGAAATTATATTTTATATAAAAGCAGTTGCTAAAAAAGGTCGAAAAATAAACTAAACCTTAAAGACAATAAAACAATTATTAGTAATTCTAGTGCTATCACTATTTCTGTTTTTTTTTATGAAGTGGATTTCGTCATGATTCTATTCTATTTTAATTAGATATATAATCAGAAACTAAATGTTTGGTAAGGAATAAAAGTTAATTACTATCTTTATTATAGTTTCAATATCAGAGAAAACTAAAATTTGGAAAAGGTGGCTGAACAAAATGAATTAAAAATCGATTTAAATTTTTAATAAAATAGTTTTTATTAAAATATAATTTATTACAGGTTTTTAAATTATTTAAAGTCATAACTTATAGGAAGCAGCTTATAGATCTATTAGGAACTTACAATTAGCTGTATAGAATATATACAAACATTTGAACAGTTTTTTATCATACAAAATAATATCACAATATTTTTTTCGGCATGGAACTATAAGTCTCTTTCTTCTTACGACACAGATTCTGTTTACCACTTATTCTCGTCCCAGTCCGATAACTTCAGATACCTCCCGAGGATTCAAAATTTAGAAAAAAAATTAGCCTGAAATAAAATTAAAAAAACAAAATAAAAATCAAACCAAAAATAAAAAATTTTGAAATAAATAAAAAGCCAGTGTTTGTCCATTTTTTACCCTAGCAATTGAAAAATTTAAAACAATTTAAGTGCATTCATTGTTAATTTTGGCAATTATTTGTGACCAGCCTTTGATTAGTCAAATAAATACTGCCTATATATAAGTGTTAAATGGTTTGATATATTTCTTATGTGTCCTGATTTTAAGAAAAGATCTCAGTAAGAATAAATTTATCATGAAGCCATTCTGTTATTTCCACTTTAAATATATGAATTACCATAGTTTTAATATTCTTAAATAATAAAACGTTAAATATTTTCCCCTGGTATAGCGTAAGAAATGGACCAAAAACACTGTTTAAAATGCAGATTTCTAGTCATAAATGGAAAAACTTTCAATACGTTAAATTCAAAAATAAGGCATGTACAGTAACTAAGTTTCTCCAAATATTTTACCTATCTGTCTAATAAAAGATAAATAAAAGAAAACTAAACTATATACAGGAAACTAATTTTAAAAATTTGATGAAAACTAGTATTAATGGTAATCAATATTACGATAAAGAATGAGTGACATAAGAAGAAAGATACTGAAACGCAATTATGTATTTTTTGTGTTTATTATAAACTAAAGTAATTAAATACCAATGTAATAAAAATCTGTCGGGGTAGAAGATTTTGAAACAAATTATTAAAAAACTAATTTTTCAATATTTATAAATAAACACTGCTGTCTCCAGCAACTACTCTATGTCTCATAAACAATAAGTGAAGATACCAAAAACGTATTAACGATCTATGTAATTAACTATAGTTGTATTTTGAATTGATTTCCTTAGCTACGTACACTAATACAACATATAAACATGGATAATTGCACTATTGGAATAAAAGTTTGCTTATTTTGCTCCTGTGTGCTAAATCCACATCATTGTGAAGTGACATCTCAGCGAGCTCTGGCAAAACGACTCACACAATTTAAATACCGTTCAATTTGTATAACTATAGAGTAATGCACAAAGCTTGGAGTAGTAAGCTATTTGCAATCATTCCTGCATAAAATCGTGTCGTGAAGAGTCTTTATGTGCGATCGTTGTTCCTAATTTTTTATCGGAGCATGAACTAGAGAAAGCTAGTGACGTGGCACGTTCGGATATCAGGCGACACTCAGGTTTCATTGGCCTTCTCCTACTATAAGGGGCTCTGCCCAGAGTGTCCATCTAGTACCTAGTTTCTCGTGGAAACTACCGTGCCGTTTGGAAACTATGGAAATAGGTCGCGTTTCAGGCCATACTTCTGAATCCAAAGAGAAACTACTAAAAACTAGCCAGGAAATCTGTGATAAAACTCAACAAGCGACAAAAAAATCTGAATGGGGACACATAAGCAACGCAGCAGGTAAAACGGTAAAATACTTGGAAAGATATCTGCGCAAAAGAGTCTTAAAACAAACGCTAAAGCCTTTTTAAAATATATAAAAATAGATGTAGATATACTCAAAACAACCAGCATTCCTCGACGATTTATGATAAATCTTTTTTTAATAGAAAATTTATTCGACGTAAAGTGTATTATATATATATATATATATATATATATATATATATATATATATATATATATATATATAACGCAATTTGTAGAAACTCAAGATTTCTGCAAAGCAACTTCTGTAATTAGATTTATAGGAGCAACGAATATTCTGTCAATGTAAGTACTTTAACCACTATTTAAACAGTCTTCCAATATCTGACACGTATTAGGATAACCGTAAATCCAAAAAAGCAGCCTTATAAAGCAATGAATGAAAAGAAGCCGTTATTGTCAAAATTCCTGGAGATTGGAGTGAAGCAAACGTTGTTCCCATTTATAAAAATAGAAATAAGCTGATATCTACAAACTACAAGTATATCTCTTTGCTGAATGTATCAGTATATCAATACTTCATCAAACGTTTTACAAATGCACTCAGTAATCGGATAACTATCAGAGAAACTACGCCAACTAGCACCATTTCGACATTACAAACATCTTTGGTAAAACAACGAAACTATTCTACCACTGACCAAATATTCATACTAAGCATGTGTACCAGCATGTGTACCAGCTCTACATAGACTTTAAAAAAGCATACGAGTAGTATGCTTTGAGTTTGACGTACGACAGAAATATGTATGACTGAAATAACCATCCGTTTAGGTTTTAGAAGATACATTATCTATTGTGTTATTAAAGTTAGCTGTTAAAAGAATTATGATACAGTTACAAGATAGCACAAATGAAACTCTGTTTTAACACAATTATCCAAAACCTTGCTCATGCAGATAATACACACTTGTATGATAGTTACCACACTTGAAAGAGTCCTAAACAGCTCCACAACACCTTATAGAGAGGTGAAACGACTAAGGGTTTTCACAAAAAAAAAAACAAGGTCTTGCACATGGCAGGAAACTAGGAAGAAGCAAAAGATCAAGAAGTCACCATAAATGGACACCTACATGAAAATGACAAATTTTTAATACTGCAATTGTTTAATCCAGAGTTGGCAATGAAAACGCAATCTTCTCTTAAGCGTGATTTGACCAGTGGCGAGAGGTGTAAAATCAATACGTGGACTTTGTGCAACAAGGATAAAGAAGCGCTTAGGAGTTAGGAAAGAAGAATCCTAGAAAAATTATGGAACAGTTAGGTTAAGGTTAAGAAAACCAGAAAAAGAAGCTGCTGATTAAAAAACTAGATTAATGACTGAAATAAAAAAATCAAATAAAGTAGGCTGCTCACTTATAGAGGAGGGGAGAAAGTGTTTCTGGGTGGTCCATAAGGAAAAAAGAGAAGAGGACGAGCCCACAGATGGGCCGACGGTATGCTGGATGATATAAGGAGATTAGGAATCCATCAGTTGTAGTGAGTAGCAGGATCATTGACTATACTGTCACGGAGAGATCTCACAGAGTGGCGTTTTTGATCGGCGAAGAGAAATAGAAAATACGTTTACGAAAAAGACAAAATACCGTTTTTCTTCTCAATATTTGTGGTTTTTGATACCTGGAATAGGGCAAAACTGTCTATTTATGGCCGGCACGTACTATTCCCTTATGTGTCGGTAAATCGACACGGTTCAAAAGAAAATCAGAAGCTGATGCACGACATGTCCAACCCTTTGGACGCAACTAAGGAGGTGCTTTGAATGTCGTGGTAATTTTACTATGGTGTGGTCTAACGAAGTTGTGCTGGAATTTTTATCATTGAGTAAACTAACCAATTTCTAAAAATTATATCGTCAATACTGATTGCGTACAACAGACTTAACCCTCGATACTCACCATCGGAATCGTTAGACTACCTTTTGGGGTAGATCGAGTACATTTATCAAAAATTAAATACATATTTACTTATTTCACACTAACGTGGGGTGCCAACCATTTTCTCTTTTCTGATCGTTAATATCGATTTTCTGTTTCTCTTTGCCGATGTAAACCAGTAAATAGTGCCATTCCGGTCGTGTACGAACTCATTACTTTATAGCCCTCTATAAAATTATTAGACCCTTTGAGATACAGTAAAATGATCACCAGCGTCCTTTGGAGTTAGGTAAACTCATCACTGCAGATCGGTAAACTCATCACCAACATTATTTCATCGTCGCTGATTTCTAATGCGAAGAATTGCCTGTTATCTGTTACACTTCTTGTTTGTCGTACCGTCAATATAAACAGCGATCTATTTCCTATGTATCTCGATAAAATAAATTCAGAAAAAGTTTTAAGAAAATTGCTTTAAGATTTAACTGATATATTTATTAATATCGAGCATCTCCCGGTGAGTGGCTCATTTGAGAAAAACTTTTATTTTCGCGTGTGTTTTAGGTAGTTATCAATAGCGTTTAGTGGAATTCCCTAATACTAGTCAATGCATTGCATTTAATACATCTGGACTTGGATTATTCTTTTAAATAATAATCAAACTTTAGCGGTTTGCAAACATTTTATGGTCTGTACCAGCCACGGGGTGCAGGTAGGCCAGTGATCAGTTTGCAAATCTCTCCGGGTCTATCTTAAAATCCCTGGTTTTATCGTGGTGATGAGTTTGTACTATCTACGGGGGCATTTATGCTCATTGGTGATGAGTTTACGTGTGCCCGCCATTATACGAGCTGTCTGATTCCGGCTTAAGGTATTGTACCTGGGTAAAGTAAGGTTGGTAAAGGTATGGGTTTTTAAATTTCTAACTAAATGAAGTTTTTTATTAGTTGGTTATCTAACTCTAAATAGGCATTATTAATTCCATTAGTGGGAGAAATTTGAGTCTCGTATATTAGAAATAAGTAAGTTCTTAGCTCAGTAAGTTCTTAATACTTAACGATTTATAAGTTTATCATGTCGTATATCATCAAATATTAAAATTGAGTTAAATAATCTTATAATCAACTTTTATATATGTCAAGTTTAATCCCGGAAACTTTCAAATAAAAACTAAATCTAATCTAAGATGTATGTTTTTTATTCTTAGTTTTATAAACTACTAGTTTGGACCATTTGAAGGATAGATGGTTATAAAAATGAATTGTGTGGACATTCGGTACAATAAAAGTCCAAAAATATTTTATGATTGTGCCGGTGTTAAACACCTGCAGAGTCATTAAAATCTCAGGTAGACCAATTGGTATAGCTCGAGTCGTTGGACACGGCAGCTTGTCAAATATCTTTAAGACGAAGATGTATAAAATATGAATTGGTCTTCTTAAACGCGTGGATGCCAGTTTTATTTGGAGCAAAGTCACAACAATGTAAGAGGTAATGATTAGAACGGTACCTAGCTCCTCTGAAACATAATTATTTCCTTTGAGAATATTTTTTTCTTTATATATATATATATATATATATATATATATATATATATATATATAATGTTGATTAAGTGAGTAATAGAATATTGAATACACATACATAAGGAAAAATAATTGG